TCAAAACAAAAGTAAAACTAGTACATCTATTTTAAGCATAAATGATGGTTATGTATTAACTCATGCAACAGCATGTTTCTTCTCCCCCTCTCCCCACAAAACCCGACCCTCTCACACTTTCCCAGCCTCCTGTATGAGGTTGCATAAAGCTCTCATCTTAGCCCTGAAAGTCCTAAAGCACTTGTTACAAAATAATCTATCAGCAACTGAAGAGGACAGAGAAGTTAAATGACAGGTTATTTGTTTTACTTCAGGTCAATTTTAACAGACTTTCTCTAAACAAACAATGCTAATTCGGCAACAAAGTAGTGCTCTTAGGATATTTACAGAAACAGCTTCAGTAAAAGGCATCGAGTCTGCTATGAAACTTGAACCCCTCTGTTTATGACAGCCTGAGGGAACAGTATTTTCTAAACGGAAAGGCAGCAACTGTCCGCCTGGGTTTCCATCATCAGGCTGACAAATTAAGTAACACACCAGAGTCTCTTACAAGGCTAAAGCATTAGGGAACAGGAGGTTCCCTTTAGAGCTAAGAATGGAACCAGCTCAAAATTTTGAAATAATAAAAAAGCAGCTAATATACAGGAGCAGCTTTTTTGCTGGCCCAGTATCTAAAATAGCCAGTACTATTTTTAAATGCACATAAAAAAAACACAGAATACTCACACAACCCACAACTTCTGGCTGAAACAAGACAAAAATATCAATACTACATCTATCCCACTACGGCTGCTTACTAATACATATGACAGATAGCACAGATTTTTGTTCAAGTACTGCATAATTTTTCTACAGTTCCACTAGCCTATGCTTGAGGATGCTGCCTTTACAATAAAGGGACATTAGTTCAGTTTCCAGAAAACATGCTCTTTGGTTCCTAATTATCAATATACTGGTGTGAATGGAGGCAGAGGTAGGAAGTGCAGTTCTCGGGCCCTAAATCAGCTTGCCTTCTTGGAAGTGTGCAGTCATTAAAGGCACTATATTAAGAAAAAAGAACCATTTCAGTACTAGTGAAAAAAAATTCCATTAGAGTGCAAGAGCATCTAAAATTGCAGAAGAAATGCAGTCACACACTTAATATAAAAAGAAAGCCATTAAACAAGACACTGCAAGAATGACTGCGTTCAGGCAAAATAATATGGTTTTAGGTAAAAAATAAAAAAAACACACCACAAAAAAACCCACCACACTTTACAAGGCCCTAATACCACACTGGCTGTATTATATTGACAGTTAAGTGGATTCTACACCCTGCTCCACCTTCCTGAATGGTGAAAAGTACTGGTACTAAACTTCCAACAAAGTAGCAGTTCAGCAAAACAGGCTGCTATTAAAGAGACTCTCTCTGAGCTACAAACCAGTGGCATCATCCCATACCGAAAGAACTGATTATTTCAAGGCCAACGATACTGTTCTCCGGCATGTCTTTGCTTAACAGGACAGACACCAGTACCGCTGAGATCCAGATTCCCTTTTACTGTAATGCTCTTGCATATATAGCACGGTCCAACTTTTGTTTTTTATGGCAGTATGAGCTGTATAATACTGTAAATATAAAACAGGTACAAGGGCAGTTTTTGATAATACTTGTCTCCTTCAGCATTACACTGTACCTTCAAAGCCACGTTCTACAGGAATTATTCTGGTGTGTCACCAGAAGCGCTGAAAGCATACCTTCTATGTTTGTTTGTTCAGAAGTGAGTGTCTTGTAATTAAATTTACAAGCATTGAAAAAGGACTGAAGAGAGAACAAGATAATGTAAACAAATGGTAATATTAACAGTCATGCGTTTCAGAGCAATGCATGCTTTGTCCATTAGTTGCACGTTTTTCATACGAGGCCTAGTTCAAGGTTTCCTGGCTTAGTTAACTGACTTCAGGAGTAGCATACCAGTCTCCTCAATAAGAGGTCCATCTGGGACAGTTCTTCATCTGACAGGATCAAGACACATTAATCTACCAACACTCCCTTTAGCATGAGCGTGCCCACTCCATAAGAGTCAGAAGTCTGACTACTAAAGGTAGCATAGAGATCTGAAGAAAAATACCCTGTAGCTTCACTACCAAACAGCTTAATCATGCAGGAGCAAGAGCAAGATAATCAATTTCTCCCTCTCCCCACCACTAGTTTTTATCAGAAGTATTTCAGTTGCTTAGTACCATAAGGACAAACACAAATAGTCAGCTAAAAATCAACTACAAAATGCCTCAATATTTTAGCTGGATATGGCTTCCCTGTGCATTATTGTGGTAAACCTTTCTTCTGAAATACGTTTCTCTCTCCCTACTCAAAACACAACATAATGATGCAATAATACTCTGATTATGAGAATTAAAGATTCCTGCTGTGCAATTACTGTGTTCAAGACCCTATTCAAGCGGGTAAAAACGCCAGAAATACAAACATCATTAAATGCCTATTGGGACATTCTCTAAACTGTCTGGAAAGCATCTAATAAACATTCACCATACCTTCTATGAAATCATTTTCATTATACAGTTGCCTCTCTCCTATTCCATCATCTTCATCTTGTCCATCTTCTTCATCTGGATTATTGATAACTTCCAGGCCAGCCTCAATAACTTCCACCAATTCATCTCGTTTATCCTTTCTAACAGGTTTTTCTTCTGGATGCCGAGTGAGTCCCATCTCTAACTGGAATACTTTCATGGACGTAAAGCTTTCAAAAGGAACGACGCCATATTCACTAGGCAGTTTAGCCCCCACGCTCACCTCAGCTTTGTCGATCTGGGAATGAAGAAATTCTAGGAGATCGTTAGATGTTTGTTCTTTGGTACCCTGGTAGTTCATACCATTGATCTTGGGGCTCTTTTTCTCCTGCAGGGATTTCAACTTATCACTCATTTCCTGAAGCTCTTGCTTTAGCTGGGCAATCTGACGTTTCAGACTGGTAGCTCGGTTTTGATAATGCTCTTCCTGTTCCTGCAGAAGGGCTTGATAGTATTCTTTACCCATGTTCTCGCCTATAATCCCAGGCAAGGATCCATTACCCTCTGTTTGTGGAGCACACTCCAGCAAGTACATGAGCAAGATTAAACTGAATAGTAAGGCCAGACCCACTAATAGCCATCGAGTCCTGGCTTGAATTATTAAGCTTCTTCTGGGCATCCTTATAATACTTCCGTTTCCCATCCAAAAAGAGGACTTCTCTGCTCATACCCTTCTGGGAACATCCCCTAAGAGTCCAAATCTTAGAAAATGAATGAAAGCATGACTGTAATATTTACTATAAGTTCTAATATAGCAGTATCTGAGCAGCTTTCAACCTTTGCCTTAATCACGTGTCATTACAGAGATATAAATTTGAAGTTCCTACATCATCCATGACCATGAGCTTGTAAGCATGGTTGACGCCAAACGATTTGTTCAGGATGTCCCACCCCAAAGAAAATAAAAACCCATTAAAGGGGAAGGGAGACATGAGCAAGGAATCACATTTCCACTTACGAGGAATACTTATGGGATTTTTATTTAGCCCCCTTGAAGTTTACCAAAGAAAGTCTGCAAAAAGCTGTTTTACAAGCTTCGAATATAGAGCATTTAGTTTTCCCTACTATGTAAAAATGAGAGGAGTCTACAGTTTAGTAATAGTAACTTTCATTGACTAGTCTGATGTTTTCCTCTGGCAGCACTTGAGTATTTCATTCCACTTTCTCCTCCTTTCCTTGGAATCTGTGGTTTGAGTCAGCAAAATGAACATCGAACCTAAAATTAAAAGAAAGGTGCATATTAGCACTACAAAGCAGCTGGTCATTGGGAAAACTCATGAAGTTGTAACACATGGGCACAAAGGATCACTGGTGGGAAAGGGTGGGAAAAGAAGATAAAAACATTTTTTTCCATTGTATTACCCAACAGTAACTCCATCTGACATAGTCTGAAAAATACCAATACGAACAATCCACTGAAAATTTTCACACAGATGGCTAAAGCAGTAAGGGTTCTTCTAGTCTTAAAAAAAAGTGTCTTTTTTGGTTTTTGGGGTTTTTTGTTTTTATGTTTGTTTTTTTTTTTTTAACTCCCCATTCCCTCTCCCACAGAAAAAGACCCAAGAAACAAAAAACCCCACACATGCCCTTCCTATTGCTCTAGATCAGGAGGGGGAAAAAAAACCAAACCAAACACACAAGTATCATTTTGAAGCTGCAGAGGAAACATGCATTTCCATTTGCTTTTGCTATGAGTGTCTTTCAGGAAGAACTATTCACTCATAAATAAAGCACTGTGGATTTAAACAAAGGTCACAGAAACAGCCTTTCAGGATAGGTCAAAATTCAGCAGAATTTCAAATTCAAATCAAAATTTTTGGTTGATGAAAAGCAGCCTCAGACTACTAGTTCGCTAACATTTCTCCCTTTTGTTTTGGATAGGCCAGAGCGAAGTTGATGGTTTGAAAGTCAGTCACCCTTTTATACTACTGACCAAACAGGCTATGAGAAGATCAGCAAAGAGATGACAGTTACATAAGAGGGGGGTACCAAAAGTGATATTTCTAGACTGAAATACTGTTTACGGGCCTATTTCAATTATAGCATAAAGACTAGAACTCGGTGGGGAGGGGACACAAACTGAATGCATGTTAAGCTCCTTCCTAAGGCTAATAAAATACTTTTCTGTCTAAGGCTTTGCTGTACAAAATAAGTGAAGCTTATTATAATTTACCCAAGGATCTATTAGCTCTGTGTCCATTTTGACTGGGTTGTGTAATTACAGTTTGGGGGCAGTTCTGGGACTTGAACACCCGTTTAACTTCAATATGCTTGCGAAACAAGAAAGAGCAGAGAAAGATTACTCACTCTAGTACTCTCTATGTATGGGTTGACCAACAGACTGTTATCGAACATCGCCACCAACCAGAAACCCAGTCTTCCGCAACTCTTGCGGATAAAGTAAGAGCGCCACAACGCGTTCCATGTGCTTAGAGCATAAACACTGATTATGTCCTTGCAACTCTCCTCCCTTCCCATTCTGCCTCCAGCACCAGGATGTAGCTTCAGTGAGTACCAGGTACCATGCATCAGCACTATCACGATATTCAGTGTTGTTATTGGAGCTTACTTGTAAATGACAAAGTTTGAAAGATTAAATAATTTATTCATACCCCCAACACCAATGCTGGGAACTGCTGATCTTAAGCTTGCATACATATCATACTGTTGGTTTTGTGTGAGCTGCAGACCCAGGAGTAGTCCAGCTGAAGCCTTAGGACTGCTTGAAACAGTTATTAGTATTTCTAGTGCTAGAATCACTGCCTATGAACCCATTTAAGATTAGAGCCTTTATGTAAAAATTCTAAATGCAGCAACTTAAAAGGCAATAGTCATCTAAAACTGAAGTTTTCTGAATTAACGTGAAACCACTGAACACTTTGGTACAAAATAAGTAACAATGATCTAAACTGAATTCTGGAAGACAATCTTTCAAGTCCAAATAAGACAGAAGTTAGTCATCCTTCACTGAACAAATGCAACATTATACAAATGCAAGTTAAATGCCTACAAAGAGTGATCAACACCAGATGTATCCTCAGACCATTGACCAGAGTCCAGATGTGGTGAATCAAGGCAGACAGAAGAAAGAGTCCACAGGACAAAACTAGTTCACAGAAATGAAGTAATAGCTTTTTACTGAAGTTGTCTATATGATGTTTTTGCTCATTCCATCCCAAATGTTTCTTACTTTAGGAAGCAAGAGGTGAAGCCACAGTTAACAAAGAACACTATTTCTTTAAACCTAGATTAAAGAAAAAAAATTGTTTGACTGTACTAAAGCCATTCCACACAGGAGCTGAGACATCACAGGTCAGTCAAGGCATATTGAGAACAAAGATCGAGCTATCTGACTGGCATAAAAATTGACAAATCCTGTCTCAAGTAATATTTACTGCATAAGGTTATTACTGCTGTTATACTGTCAAGAACAACAGCATTTCCACATCTCTGTATACACAAACACAGGTCTCATGTCAACACCGAAGTTAGCTTTTCATGTTAGGAAGAAATGCCTTTGGTCCTGGGGACGGGGCAGGAACTGCGGTAAGTCATGCAACCTCCTATCACCATGGACTTTAAACAATCACCAGCTGCTGTTAAGTGACAAACAAATGCCCCGAAGCTGGAGTATTAGCCTAGGAGGCCTTTATTCAATTTGCCAGTCTTTCAATATATATTGCCACATGACCAATTTCGATAAGCCACTAAATTTCTTTAGGTCTTATTCATTTCTTAGAAGCAAATGACAACACGTTTCCTCATGTGGTCTCAAGAGGACAAAACGTATTAGGAGTCTGAGAAGCCCTCAGAGAGGATTAGCAGGAGGCCATGAAAGGACAACCTTGTTCTTAACAAGTTTTACTGCGGCAAAATCTACATTATTATGGTAAATATGGATTAAAAAAAATAAGCATGCCTATAAAGACTAGCCATTTGCTAGTCTCAAGACTAGCAAACTCAAGAACAAAACATTATGAGTAACCGCAGATTTCTGAGCCTTACCTACTGACACCTTACCTACTTACATTAGAGATCTGCTTTACGAAGCACTGCTTTAAAGTACTTTGGAGAAGAGGAAACAGTAAGCCTATTTCTGAAGCAAAAGAAATTACATATCAGGAGGGCTGCAGAAAACTTATTTGGTTCTTTTCCTTCTAGGCTCTACTAATTTCCTCATTAGTTGAAACCCTTTCTGGGGACCTGGGGACCTTATTAATAAGGCAGCCTTTTGCAGAGACAGGTCTTGCCTGATACACCTTTAACAGTTTTACTGTGACACCGTAAAGAGCAGGCAGTTTTCCTACTACCGATTCCCCGTGGCCTTTAAAGGCAAGGAATGTTCATGCAACCAGATATGTTAAACAACATTAAGGTTGTAAATTGCACATGGAAAGCTAAAGGTGTAAGTTAGTTTGCTAAAGCAGCAGGGACTGAGCCGATTTGGAAATCTTGTCTTTTTTTCATATTACTTCTGCTGAGAAAAGAGTAATCATAAAGGAGCCAGATTTCCTTCCTGCCTTTAAAGCCTTGAATTTTTCTTGTTTACAGCCTTCAAGAGTGCTATCCTACGAAACACTTCCAAAGACATAATAGTTAACAGCAGGTAACAGGACTCTGTTTTCTTCCTCCTGGCATTGTCTTCTCATACTTGCTCTACTACCAGCAAAAGATTTACATACCAATGCCTTAGCACTATGGGAAGAAGTAATCCCCATGAACAGCAGCACCTTAAATACAGTGGTGAAGTTTCTCATTATTGCCGCTACTACCATTCTTAAGCAGCTAAACAGTTTACTCTGAAAAAGTACTCCTGTTTCATCTTGCTCCCCTTCAGAAGGGAAAGGGAAGCCAGGAAGAATCTTAACTCTCATCCCATCAGAAGAGGAGGTTTAACAAGCCCTCTATTTCACTATCCTCTCTTCTCAGAGAAGCACTAATTTCATGCATTCACAACTCAGTTTTGACGAGTTAAATTCCTTAAGTTAGGTCTGGCACAGCATCATTACAGGAATGTCAATAACTACTTCCAGGTTGCAGAAGACTATTACAAGAGAAAGCAGGCTACGAAGCATAATGCGAAACACACAGCATCCTAAATACCACATTATGAAAATGAACTCAATGTAGAATAGTGCATTCTAAAGTCTGTAGTCTTATTAGGTTACCTGGAAAAAAAGTAATCATGCAGCCCCTGGGATCAGCATTCCACTCTTTAAAGATTAAATCACAAATTTTGAAACTGCATATGCTGATATTACACTTTATTCCATTTCTTTGAAGTAAGTCTATTTGCAAGAATCCCTATGATATCCAACGACTGGGACACTGACAGTCATACAATGCTCAAAGATTTGCAAGTTTTCCAGAATCAACTGGTTGTTATTCTTTCTGCATTTCCAGGGTCTTATGTATATTCAACTATGGAAATGTTTCTGTTCCTTACAAAAGGGTTCATTGATTCTCTAAGCACAATGGAATAGACCAACATGCTAATTGAAAATGCCTTTTAATTTGTTTTTATATTAGCATTCTGTTTTGGTTCCTTGTTGCAAAGGGTGAGTACCTCTTTCTAAAGAGGGGAAACATTCACATTTACAGCAGTGACCTAATTCTGTACATTCTTGCTTCACGCTAGACTCTGTGGACATTCCTCATTTTAACATGTTCCATTCCAGACATGTCCTTCTCATTCAGCATTCCCTAGAGATGGTCATACTTTAGCTGCTTATGAAATTCCAGCTGATTTTCATAGTTATTTTATTGTTTGTAATTCTACCCAGATGCCACAGATACTGTCTTAAATCCCTCCACACACACATACCTCTCTCTCCTTGGCAAGTTATACACTGAAAACATAAGGGCCAGTACCATCCCTTGAATATTTCATCTTACTCTGTTTTCAGTGACACTCTATTCTTCCAGACTGTTTGTGAACACTAGAGAAACACTGGGCCACCACAGCTGTTTTCTCATTTGCTGAAACTAAGATAGACAAAGAAAGCTTGTGGTCTGTGCTGCCAGGGGCTACCTTTGTATAACTCTAGAATGAAAAACCTCAAGCCACACCTTAAGTACGCAGAGAGGCATACTCTCTGCTCGCACAGCTTAGTCCACCAAGGCAAAGCCTCAGAAGGGGCATGCAGAGAAAGCTGTTTAATGCTGTATTACAGTTCTACTAGATCAGTACCGAAGCCAAAGCTTTGTGCTGCTGGGAAGGTAACAGAAAGGGAAAAAATAATGAAGAGAAAAATATCCAAATTGGCAATCGGAGGCTCTCACTTCTCCACAGAAAACTAAGTGTTAGTCACATCTTCATTGGACTATAACTGTAAACAGCATGTTACCATCACAGTTCCACAATCTGATTTATTTTCAGCTACAGCTCCATTCTAGGCCCCCATCACAGCCACACATACACACAGACGCTACAGGACAGCGGAGAAGTTGAAAACCACCAAATTATCAAAAGCAAATTAATAAAACCAGAGGAATTCAGAAGTTGTCTTAATATACATCACAATCAGCGCTCACATAAGTCACAGTTATATCAGAGACAAGCAGATGTTTCAGAATTTAGTAGTAGTTCGCAAACAGAACAGGACAGTTTCTACAGAAAATTTTTTCCAGCACATCGCAGATCTAAACCAGAAGTCCAAGAGTTAGAAGAAGTTCTCTTCCCTGGGAGAATCTGTAGGGAGAATCATCTCCATGTCAGATCTAACTCAAGCCCAAAACCTTCTGTGCTCTTTCATCCTTATGAACGTATCTTAACTGCTAAATATGCAAGAGTAACATGTACGCCTTCAGCTCCTGCCCATTAGTCATGCTGCAGACTAAGCCGCAGCAGATACCTAGTCTTCCACGTTACTGTAGCCAGCCTCAGCCGTCAGCTCACGGCCTGGGATAGCGTCGAGCCATCAGTTAACACTGCTCATACTCATTCACTTTTTTCTTGGTGTTCCTCTGCTTTCTTCGTTATAAGCCTCCACCGATGAGCACAGAGATTGCCGGCAAGGAGGCGGGTAGGTGCTGCACACCAGCCTCTGAAGAGGATGTTACTTCATTTTTAGTAAAGGATCTGGAAAAACCCACACAGAGAAGGAAAATTACTGAATACATTACAAAAAGCCTGTAATTAAGCATCAAGTGCCAGAGCTTATCTGAAACAGGTAACTTCTGACATACGTCTAGTTCTTTCATGGGGGGGAGGGGGGAATCAGATGTTTAGCAGAAGAATTGTATTAAAAAATGTAGTTCAAACATGGGAATCAGTAGAAAAATGTATTACTTCAGTGATGTGTAACAATGATTACAGGATTTACTGCTCACAAAAGAGACAGGCTTAAGGAAAATATTTTCATATGCAGTCCCTTCGCAAACTGTCTATTCTACAAAAGCAGCATTATGGTCTTGCCAGCAGAAACACTGATCTTCAAAAATTAAGGCTAATCTTCCACAAGTCTCTACTTTGACATTAGAGACTAATACACTGCGCAAATACACGGGATTTTGTAACTTCTCTTGTTACGCACAGCTCCCTCTCAATGCTAGACCTCGTAGCTTTATCGATAAGCAATTCTGCATGTTTCCACTTCTAGACAAGGCTCGGAGCCTGCACATTAGTTGCATGCTTCCAGCAGACCCAACCAAAGCAGGTAGCCAGCAGCAGGGTTGCATCGTTGCAGGGTTCAGTCTACCTACATCTATCCTATGAAAGGCACCCAAGCAGCTCTTGCTCTTTACTCACTTCCAAACCCTCTCCTGAATTTCAGCCTCAATTTCAGAGGTTTCCTGGTGTGTATTTTTACAGTGGGCTCAAGTCAATACAAAGCAACATGCCTGTGTGAGGGAGCCATCCTACCCTTCCCATCACATCCCCCATCCAGTGGGCTGGCACTGCTGGTTCTCACAACCAGCAGATAAACTAGCAAGACAGTCTGACAGCACAGGAAGTGATAGGGTTTTTAGAGAGTCAACTTTCAGCACTACAGTTAAAGTAGCAGAGAAAGCAAGTGCAAGATAATATCCAACACCACCAAAATGGTGATACTTTTGCCACAACAATCCCTCGAAAACCAGTCATGTCCACACTATCATCTTCAAATGAAGAAGATGTCAAATGCATTGGAATAGTTTACATCCAATAGTTACACAATCTACTCTGAAATTACAAGCAAAAAGCCGGGGTCTTTTTACTTAAGTGGTATTATCTTCCATGGCTGACAGAAGCAAGCAAATTATCATCTGTCCTGGCATTTGTTGTTCCGGCACAAAACAGCATCCCTACATACTAAAACAGGCAAATGATAGAGCAGTGTTATTCACGGGGTTTACTTTCTACCTAATCCAAGGCAAGAAATGAACATAATAGGAGACCTACTTCAGTTTTCACTGAAGCCAGAGCACACCTGTTCATTTAGGACCTGCTGGATTGAATGTGAAATACAGAGAGCTACACCTTAACTAAGCTATTAATTATCCTTATTTTAGATAAGGTATGGAAATAAAAGTCAACTCAGCTGTTTTGCTATTTTTAAGACGACCAACATCTGCTTGGCAAGAAAGAAGCTGAGTAAAAAAGTCTTTGGTAAGACCAGTTGAAAAGTTTGGTTTCTTTCATTTTTAATTATTGAATAGGTAACCTGAAAGATTGACTAGCTTCAGTTGCTATAACACAAATCAGTTTTCTATTTTACATACACTTTCCTATAGTTACATTATTTAGCCTGTGGGTTTTTACATCGTTGTAGCCTCTACCCTCATTTTAAATCTGGCATAAAAACAAACCCCAGACTTGGAAAAGCAAGTCATTTTCCCACTACTGTAAGGGAGTTAATGGAACAGCAGTATCACACAGCTAAAATTATTTTGCCTACCAGCTGCCTACCTTACAGGCTGTTAAAGTTTAGCCTACAAATGGTAGCAAAAGTTCCAGTTACTACCTTAGCACCTCTATCAGAAAGAAGCACTTTCTCTCGGTAAACTTACCATCTCCTAGGCAGTAAGTTATCTTTAACATAAGCATTAAATATGGTAAAAATAGGTCAAGTTTTTGCCCTGTCATATGGTTTGCAATAACGTTATTAACCACACGCTTTCCATGAAGCGCCACGTAAATTACGGTGTGGGTAACTACGATGGCAGCAGACTGCTTTATTCCAGGTCCAGCGGCACATCTCCTCAGCAACCTTACTCAACCGAGAGCGCTTATGTGCGTCCACGGAGGGTTGCCTCTCAGAAGTGAGCCACTTCAAAGCAGGATTTGAACACTTCAAGAGCAGCTACGTATCATGGGGCAGGGCAAGGCTGAAGGGTGTCTGTCTTCATTCAGAAGAAATGCTGACTAAGGAAGAAAGGACCTTTATGCTCATTCCAACATGACAGCGCAATAGCTGTGCAAGAAGCATAAATAAGAAATTAACCAAACATCCTAAGTTTTAATTCTATAGCATTACTTTTTTTTTTTTGAATACTTTTGTGCAGGAAAACATGGTCTATTTTCAAAGGATAGGGGGGGGAAAAAAACAACTGCACCCAACCTGCACCACCTCACAGTGAACAAGGAAAGGTAAAATGCTCTCTGGATATGCAGAGTGATACGTCTAAAAAGGCCACAGCTAAATATTTCCCACCCCCATACAGGGGGGATGCTACAGCCAATGCAATGTAACTGTCAAAGACGAGTGATCCTAACTCAAGGGTATAGTATTTGCACAGCATGTTTCACCTACACTTTTACTCATGCCATTTCCTACCAATACAAGGAAATAAACAAAAACCCATGCACCCACACAACAAAGTCTCTCAGTGGCGAGAATGGTAGTAGGCAAAAACAGAGCTGAAGATGGTGCGTTTCTGTGAATTACTCCACCTAAACGTACCACAGCTACGTTCTCAGATTTAAGTGTTCTCTTGTTTTCTCATATCCCTTCCAATTATAATTTAGCTCTCTATGTATGGAGATCTAGACCCTGTAGTTACTGCAGCCTGCCCACAGCAAAAATATATATTACAACATATATAAGATCTTATGCTATATTTAAAGCATAGTTAGCATCCAAATTCCTACACAAAGTCAGAGGAACGCTTCCCATTGTGGGAGGTAAGGAAAGGGAGCGTACATTCAACAGTTTCCTTACACTCATGAAACACAGCTAAATTCTGTAGAACAAAGAATTGCCTTTGAAGCTCACAAAGATACCTGAAAGTGAAGTAGTTATTGCATATGGCTTTTTTTTACCCCATTAAAAACACACATATGGAAAAGAATAGTCCTTGGCCAGGGTGCTACTTCTAACAGTTTCACAGCTAACTGGCCAGCATTAAAAAAAAAGTTAGTGACACTTAATCTGGTGGAGCAGCTGGATTTTTTTTTTCCCCCCCTCCATAATTTGTCTATGGTAGGAAACACTTTTTTCATGGAGGCACAAATCCAGACTATTATGTTTCTGTAGCAGTTAAAATGAAAGCGGTGAGAAGTTAGGTTCTCAAACACTGATGAATCTCTTTAAAAAAAAAGCTTTGAGGCACCTATTAATAACAATCTTAAAAGCATAAGTGTATCAAGGCAATTGAGTTAAATTCCATAAAAAGCAGTTTCATTAGACAACTATGCACTAAGTATTACCACAGCAATGTTCTCCTTAAAGTTATGGTTTACTGCCAAATTTTGTGTGGCACACTGGCCCATGTAATATTTGCATAGAAATCTTTTTATTGCAAGTTGGAAGGGCAATAAAACAGCTGAAGTCATCCACTGGAAGACATTTCTGTTCATTCTGTCCAAATGGTAGTTTGGCTTGAGAGCTACAAAACATCCAAAGCCAGTTAAAAATACAATTTGATATAAAAATTCCAAGAAAAATATTGCCTTAAAAAACCAATCATTTTAGAGGTGGCTTTTTGTTTGTTTTTAAATGAATGGAAACAGTTAATTTAAGTTCACGTGTGCTATACAGCAATGTGATCACTGAGCTATTCCTCAGTCCATAAATCTAGGACAGAAGGGGGAACACAACCTACAAATTTTTTTTAGAGTGGCTAACAGCTACAGTAGCAGTTTAAGCTCTGCTTTCAGCACAACAAATCAGCCATGAGTATATGCCACCAGAAATGACAGCTAGCTGCCAAGTGATTGAGAAACATCTGGTGTGTTCCAGAAGTACCATGAGATGCATTTATTTCACCTCTATCTTTTCAGTTTTTTCATTATAACTGAGCAAAAAGTTACTCTTAAAGGATTAGCAACACCAGACTTCCTCCGAAGCAGAGGAGCTAGCAGTTTGCCAAAACTATCTTGATAGTTTTTTCCCCAAAGCAAGACAACATTTTAAGAAGTGCTACTATAATAAACAAACACTAAACAACACTGGACATGACCCCTCACCATCTCTTTGCTCTACTCTGTAAGTCTCTGAAGCTGGTCTTTGGGACCCCGGGACCACCCTTCCCTCCTCTGCTCTTCAAGGACCACCACTTGCAGGGGAGAGAAGCCTGGAGTTTCTGTAACATCCCCCCACCCCGTGATAGGTTTTGCTGGTCTCTTGTGCCATTCTTTCACAGCCACATTTTTGCTAGCCTAGCTTCACAACAGGGAAAGATAAATGGTTACTGCAGACACTTATTATGAACTGTTTATTCAAGAGACTTAATTGACATAGGGTACCGGTAAAAGCTTTGTTACGCTATTTCAACGCCGTTTTAAATTTGTTACCTCCTCTCGTCCCTTCAGACCCTCAGCTTAAATCTGCCACTTTTCCACCTCTTTCATCCACCCAGGTAAAGCTCCAATAGAAACCCAGGAACTTAACACAAATAAGAAGCTACTTTGAAAGGTTTGATGGGAGGGTGGGGGGAAGAGGGAATAAAAAAATCTTACTGAATTGTGTCTGAAATCTGAAGAAAAATTACTCAGAGAAACAGGGCTTAATAGCAGAATCCAATGCAGTATTTTGGATGCTAGAACTCAGCTACAGGGCACACGGGGGGAAAAGGACTGCCCTGCACAGGCTTACTGCCAAAGCACTGCTTCCAGACTAGGCCGAGAACACCAGCATACGTCTATGCTAG